TATATATATATGTATATATATATATATATATATATATATATATTCATTTTTTTTTCATCACTAATAATGGCCTAATAGTTCCCTTTTGTAAAAAAAAAAATTATAAGTATACGGCGTGTTGATGAACCGTTTTTTATTTTATTCTGCACCCCTGTGGCAGAGTGATAGCAGCCGAAACATACTCCTAAATGATATCAAGGTCTGACATAGTACCCAGATGTTTTACAATTGTTGAAATAGTCTAAAATTCTAGCTTAAACACCTCTGATTCACATCATTCCTATACAGTACATGAAATACTTTTCTTCCGGTACGTTACCGGCCGATTTTCATAGGAGCCTTGGATACGGTATTGATAATGTTGCATCTCAGCTCCAGATGGTGAACATTTCACACAACTTCATGTCTAAAAACCTGAACTTTTCCTTTAAAAGAAACAAAGTACCTGGGTTTAAATGGAGGCCTTGACTGCTTCCCTTTTCTGTACTTTCTTGTCATCATTTCTCTGGTAACCTGTAGATCAGACAGATCATCTGTCTGTCTCAAGGCAAGCCAGCCTCAACTCTGGGGAAAAAGGCAGAAAAGGTATCCTATGACGCTGAAACATTTTAAATTTACCTCGGAGTCAACAGCCTTTGGAAGCTGGTTAACAACCACCCTCTCATGCTCCAGGTCCAGATGTTAAAATTGTGTCCCTGGATCATATAAGTTAACATAAGTTGCACCCTTTCTTCAGTAAAAGATCTTATGTAATAGTTTTTCATTTAGGACAGCTATCCCTCATGACGGCCAGTCCAGATTGCAGCTGTAGGCAGGGTTAGTAGTCAAGTGGAGCCTCTGGTGTAGAACCGCTTTTCTCCATTCAACTTCCTGGTAAATACTCCAAGCCTCAAATATATTTTACGATGTGTGGCTGAAGTATTTTTCTGTTCAACTTATTTAACCTCAGTGTTTGACTATGATCTGCGTCTGTGTTTCAGTACAGCACAGAGGCCAAGTTTATCTACTGTCTAGATAAACCACTGTTCACTCTACACGCACAACAAAGATGTTGACTAAAACATATTCTAGACAGGTTTTTCTGTGTGTATTGTTTGTGGTGGGATAAGATTAAGTTTGAACTTCATGTCTTTTTTTAACTGTTGTAAGTTTGAACCTCAGAAGCCAGATAAAACGTTGATCATCTCATCTAACAAACGTGTCAAGATTTGAGGCATTCCTAACCAACAAGCCAAATCTGGTGCACTGTCATTATATGACATTTTTGCATAAAGCTAAACTGACAAGTACTTAGGCCCAACTTTATTCTAGAATGATTTGGATTATTTTATTAAATAACTACATTTTTAACTTGCAAGGAAACATTATCATCCAAATCCATAGTAACTGTGTTGTCAAGAGTTAACACCTCAAACAGGAACAAAACAGAGATTTTACATCAGAGTCAAGATCCCAAAAAAAAAGAATTGAAAATTAAACCTAGATTTTGGATACTTGACTTCCAAGTTGGACATAAGTCAAGCAAGAGACTGACTGACTTTTTAACTAAGTGCAGGAGATGCTATAACATGGTGTTTGTTAGAAAGCCAATCACAATCTTGGATAAACATGGATGGATAGTCTGCTGGGCTGATGAGTTTCAAAAGACACATATAGCTGATCATCCTCCACATAAAAGTAATACATAATATTATTAAAAGATTCAACAAAGTCAGCATATACAATGCAAAATAAAGGACCCAGAAATAACCCCTGTGGAACCCCACAGATAAGAGAGAACGTTCTGGAGATGTGCTTGTTGTGCCATAAACCATGATATTGTCACGATTCAGGCTGTGGACCCAAATACAACCAGAAACAACAGTGGACGGTAAGTAGGTGTATTATTTGAATGTTACAGAGAAATGGGGAACAGTTTAAACCAAGGAAGCAGGAACCACTTGAAAGCAGAGAGCAGATTAGTGGCTATACTGATGATTCAGTGGATCTTTTAAATAAAGACAGAGAGCCACTAACCTTGTTCTGAATCTAGGAGTATTTAAAATCCAGAGCTTAGATTCCTTAAAGATAGGAAAGTAAACACACTCCAGTAGATAGGCCACAAACATAACAGGTATTAATCTTGAACATTGAGAAGCAATGTCCATACTGATATTTAACATAACCATAGGGTTAGGGGGGTGCAGTTTGGCTCCACAGTTGGCTGGTGTGGACTCTCCTCTCCTTCTGCAACCTTCCCCTGGTTTATTTGATCATTCTTAATCATTTAATGTATTTACGCTTGGGTAAAGACACGCTAACTGGTTGCGGCGCATGCTACACCACCATTAAGCTAAAACGACCTTTATTTCACTAAGGGTTTAAACACGGACCTGCGCTTTGGTGCAGTTTGTAGCAATGTTGCCTTGCAGCAAATAAGCACTGAGTTCGATCCCTCTGGGTTTTTCTGTATGGAGTTTGCATGTTCTCCCTGTGCATGTGTCACTAATGCTCAGGGCACTCTCTCCGGGCACTCCAGCCTACTCCTGCAGTTCAAAAACATGGCTGCTAGGTTAATTGGTTTAAATGTGTCTGCATGGTTGTATATCTTCGTGTGTATCTATGTTGCCCTGCGACAGACTAGGGACCTGTCCAGGGTGTATCCTGTCTCTAGCCCAGAGACTGCTGGTTAACTGGCCCCAGGGCAACCCTGACGGAATAAATGCGACAAGATGAATGGATGATTTGTGTTTTCTCATAAGCACATTACATTTTGATTACCAAATTATGGTGGAATGTCATTTAATAGGACTTAACTAAAGGTTATTGATTTAATTCAATAAAACATTATTTTGCCTAATAACATTTTATATACCTCTTGAAATTGCATTGAGGATTGGTTTGAACAAATTGCATAACAATTGCTCTAAATCAGTCAAAAGCTAATTTCCTCTTTGGTTCTTAAACATAACATCCGTGCTGAACTGTGAAATAATTTCACCATTTTATTGATGGTTTTCGACCATGTTTTCCCTTCTTCTTTATGTACATGGTAGTTTATTTTAGTTGAGTTTCACCAGTATAGTCAAGAGCTTGTAACTGAAATATGTTTGACTTGGAGCTGAATGATTTTTTTTTAAAATAAACTGTTATAATTTGAATAGAAGTTGTTTGTTTTAAAAGTGAACTTATTCTACATAAGTGCAGAGTTAACTGTTTGAACATGATTTGAGCTTGTTTCACACTTGCATTTGTTGTTCTAACATGCAGCCAGTTGGGCGTGTTTGCAAAGAACAGTATACGACAATCCCAATATTATTTGGTTAAAGGTCAAATTTGCCACCCCGACAAGGTTGGCAATAAATATATAATAACTGCAAACTATACTTATTCACCAAAACTGAAACCTTTCAAAAGCATTCCCGGAGATACCAGTAAAATCCCTCAACCTATTTAGTAAAATGTTATGGTCATTGACCATAATGAAGGACCAATTCTAGATTGGTCATTATACAAGCAGAGCATTTAAATTAAAAGCACACAGCTGCATTTATTACAGATGTTTGTAGGATAAATCAAAAGAATTAGAATTAGAACTTCACAAGAAAGTTATGAAATGTGCTGCATTCCTCCTTAGAAAGCAACATAGCATAATGTGGTGAAGGAGACAACATCATTAATGGTGTCAAAAAATACCTTACTTTGACATAAGTGATGCTGCAGTAGGTAAAGCTGATGCTGCCTTGAGCTTATCTTTGGATGAAAATTGTTATTTATTGGTACTTTCTCTCGAAACATAACTGTCCCCGTTATAGTTAGCGCTTAATGAGCGAGGTGTTTTGGGGCCAAGTGTGAATGACAGCTTTTTTCACTCTTTCTTTTTGTATACACTCTGAGTATACAAAATGACAATAAAATCTGTCTATGTCTAAGCAAACCCAGGCCACCACATCAGCTCCCTCGGCAAACATTCAGGTCTCTTTGTGATCTTCTGGATACAGCAGCCCAGCCTGTAAATAAACTGTGTTACCCTGGAAACGGCAAGCTTCCCCTCTGCTGTGAGAGGGACAGAAATGGACAAAGCTGCACACACTTTGTTTAAAAAAAAAAGCCTGATTATCTTATCGTTATCTCCCTTTTATCTCCTCTTTCTTTCATCTTTTCTCATTTTTTCTGTTTTTCCTTTCCTGTTCTACCTACATTGCAGTGTCCATATAATCTGTAAAACTCTCTGCATAATTATAATAAAGCAATTTATATGCATAAATCAAGCGGAGCACTATGGCGATAGCCGTACTGCTCCACTTGTGAAAGTAATATCTGTTGGGCTCTTTTTGGCATCAAGACAGTTATTCTTATTACCACATCACCAGACAGGATACTGTAAAAAATAATAAAAATAAATAAAGCCTGATTAACATGTTTGCAATTGTGTTTAGAAAGACTGGAGCACAAGCCTTTTAATAAAATGGAAATCGAAATAATTAGATGAGATTATTAAGTAGAGAGAACAATTGTGTTTTTATAGATATACTAAAGTAGGGGATAGTTTCTCAGATCTTTGTCAGTTTTCCTTTCTCTTTAAATTAAAATATAGAAAAAGTATCTGTAATAGTAACTGATGTACTTGTTCCCATTTTTCAGAAATTATAACTAAAGCATTAGTGAAGCCCATATAAAATCAGTCACAATGTATCATGAATACAAGTAAGTTTTGAATAAAGGATCTTCAATCTTTTTTTAATTTTATTTTCCATGAAGCGGAACCTTTGATCCGGTTGCTTAGACGGAACAATTACAACGATGCACACTTTAAAGTAACAGCACCATGGCGTCGGGTCATTTGTGTAAGCTGCACGGTGTTTTAACGCGACTTTCATACGCTGCTACGCTGCAAAATGTGCAAAGTAAGTAATTTTTTTGTTTGTTTTAAACTGATGACCGCTGTCGTAACTGGGTTTCCCATTTAAAGCTTTTTAAAAAGTGATGGTGGCTGCTAAAGCTAACGATAAGCTAACCTTGACGTATGTTCCAGGAGTCCTGTGTCAGTTTTTCATCTCCTAAACATTATTTTATGTTAAGAATATAACAAATTGTTTAAATATAACGGTGGTTTCTTTGATTCATACCAACATCTGACGTAAAAGCACATATTTTGGAGGTTTTAAATATTTTCAGATTATTTTCAAGTTAAAATCATACTCATTGTTAGTTAATGAACCATCTTATAATTTTCCAGTTTAAATTTAATTTGTCCCACATTTAGTGGACTATGATCACTTGTTTGGATCTGGGTTGTCAAGCCTGTTTGTATTGTTGCAGGTTGTTTGGTGCCACTTCGACAGAAATCTACTGTTGACCCTTCATCACCCCAAGGCCATAATTGGTTAGTGACTGTAAACAAAATGCAATCAACTGAAAACTCACTTGAAAATCACTTGCACTTTGTTTGAAGCTGCTGAAAAAAACAGTTTTTATATACCTGATAAGATCCTTTGACATCAAATTGTTAATGGGGACGTAGATACAGGAGCGAACTGCAGCATCTGGCTGCAAGGAAAATAGTATTAAGTGCAAACAATCATCCTCTGCAAAGGTTTTTGTACTTGGAGGATCTCAAACGACACGCTTAGTGTCGAGATTAGGGCTGGGTATTTTTGCCAAAGTCTTGAATTTATTTGATTTATTTGAAATCGATTAATTGCGATTCAATCTGTTTTTAAAACAAGTGGTTCAACTGTGTTTCAAAATACTTATGTATTTTATTTTTTCCTGTCATATAAACACAAAGTGAAAACTTGTAAACCAGACAGTTTAAACTTAAGATGTGAACAAAACTGTCTCAAAAGTGCAAACTTGTTTGTGAAAAGTGAAAAAGTGAAGCCTCACATGAGCAAGCAGATGTGACACAGCGGACATGCATGAGCTGCATTATCTTCACTGCACAAACCATATTTGCAGCTTGTCTGTAACAACTACAGGGTGTTTGCTGGTCAGCCCCCATTTGTTATTGTCTTTATTCAAACTATTATTTGCAGCTGTCTGGCTTGAATTAATTTTGGTGATCTGTTGCACGAGATCCGAGGCGCCATTCATTATCAATGTAGTGGGAAGTCGCCTTAATATCACATATCCAGCACATTATCTTTAGCTGTTTTAAATCCAAAATGGTTCCAGATATCAGACTTCAGCTGGGACAGCTTGCTGAGCGGTGTGTTACTTGGATCAGCATTTGCAAAGGCCTGCTCATTTGAATGTGAACGTCACGAGCGTCACTATAAAACTAAACAATCTCATTCCCTATACATCGATTTTGCAAAAATCTAAAGGAATCGATCCAAAATCAATTAAGTCAATCTTTTTACCTAGCCCTAGTCGAGATACTGTGGCTTTGAGTTGTGTTGTGTTGCAGCTCACCTAAATCATTCGGCTAACTAGTCCTCCTAATGATTACATGTATTGAAATAGAAATGTGTGTAAAAACAAGACTCTGGCCTTATAGGACTAGAGCTTAAACAAAAGAAGCGGAAGAAAAAAGGAAGTGAGGTTGCCGCCAGTGCAGAGTGTGTTCATAAGCAGCAGCAGCAGGCAGGATTTGACTACTTCTACATATATTGTGAGCATCATCTTATACAGAAAAAAAAAAATCAAGAACAGAAAATGCCAAGACAGAAGTAACGTTAGCTTCTTACATTTGTTGGGCAAGTGAAAGTGAGCAGAAATCCTCCCAAATCCACTGAAGTGGCTGTATGCTGATGAAGATTCTCAGTCATCCAGGTCAAAGTCATTCCGTAAAAGTAAAAAAAAAATCCACTGGACTTGGTTTCCCAAGATTTGAAGATGTTTCGCCACCTCTCCAGACATTTGAATTGAGAAAGCTTCCTGGAGAGGTGGCGAAACGTCTTCAGATCTTGGGAACCAAGTCCAGTGGATTTTTTTTTACTTTTACGGACTGAAGCGGCTTGCAAGAGCTAACCTTTTCCACTGTCCAGAAAAAAATGTTAATTATTTTTCTAGCACAGTGGATTGCCAGGTTACCAGGAAAAGTTAATAACCAAGTAGCCCAAAGATAACAAATTGTATCTTTGATTGTAATAGAAACGTATGCCTAAAAGGTTTGCTATGGTTAAGAAACCAAACCTTTAGTTGGTTTCAAAACAATTGGTTGTGATTGTAGGGATAAATGTCTAAATTTACCATCTTTACAAGGATCTGTATTATTGATAGTAGACAATATAATAGAGGAGGAGTATTTCAAAAAGAAACGTTAATTCCTGGAGTTATGAGTCATGTAAGAGATTGACCAAAATATTTGATTCTTGCAGATATACATTTCAGTGGAAAACAGGATGTTTATTTTAATTAAGGTTTGTGTTTGTAGCTTAAACAAAAAAAAAAAAAAAAAAAGACAGCATCCTAAAGGTTAATTTTCCAATTTCTATCTCACAGTGAGGTGAAAATAGGTGTTACTTCCGATGGAAAAACCATAGTATGCTACCACCCTGCCGTCGACGTTCCATATGAACTCACCCAGGTATGCTCACACACTTTATGTACCAAACACTAACATATATTTTTGTCAAAGAATAACCAATGAGGGGTTTTTTTTGGAAAGGTGTTAGAACTGTTGTATAAAACATCTTAATGTTTATGTATCTGCAGCCCATAGAGCGACCAGACCCTTTGACTGTGCCGGCAGAAACCCACGATCAGGTTCTGAAAGCCCACCTCAGCAAAGAGGTGCTGAAGGGCAAAGAGGGACCGACTATAGAGGAGCTGAGCAAGATGTTTTTCACTACAAAACATCGGTTTTATCCAAAAGGACAGTGAGTGTTCAAACTTTTTTACAAAAAGTGTCTTTTTAAAATATTTTTAAACCTTGGAGGTTTCACATTTAAACCAGAATTCACTCTGTTATTGGGATTTTATTGATAATAGAATAGTTCATGCATGTGTGCTGGAAGGAAATTGATGTAAGGTTTTTAAAATGTTTTACAAGAAATATCTAGAAATCATTTTATTTATACCCATGCTGGAACTCTCTGGAGTTTGTGCAAAAGAAGCATCCCTAATACAAGTAAACTTTTTTTTTTTAAAGGATTCTTTGCAAAATGTTGATTAAACAATGTTCTCCACTGTTCACAGGTATCACAGGAGGCGCATCAATCAAAACCCCCCAAAGGACAGATAATCGAGGTCCATAAACTGTTATTTGAAATGTAAAAATATTGTATAATAAACTGGGAAATGTGAGTTATTCATTTGTTTTTGTGTCTACAATTCGTCGCAGGATGTTTTTGGACGTTATCTAGATGAAATAAAACAATCCAGCTATGAGTGAAAAATGGTGAGGTGATGCTTTATAATGCTGGTTTGGAAAACAATAAAGATGTATTAAAAGTAAATGTTTTCAACATGTCTTTATCCAAAAAAAAATAATTAAAAACAATCCACTGGACTTGGTTTCCAAGTTTGAAGACGTTTTGCTTCCCATCCAGGAATCTTTTTCAATTCAAAATGTCATGAATATCGTTGGGTTTGAGGTTTTATACAAAAGCCCGACAAAGCTTTGTTTTTGTTTTGAAAACATGCAAATTGGAACAGACGAAGGGGTCCACCCATTTTGAATGGGGTCGTTTGGCTTCTTTGAAAGAAAGGTCGGTCAACTAGATGGGTATGGGGTATTGCAGTCTAACCAAACATCCCTAAAAGTGTCCTTAGATGTGAGTGTATGTGTGCATGGTTGTTTGTCTATGTGTCTGTGTAGCCCTGAGACAGACGGTGGTGAGCTGTCCAGGGTGTATGCTGCCTCTTGCCCATAGACTGTGGAGATGGGCACTTCTTCCTTTGGTACCACCTTCTCCTTCTTTTTGACTATTTGAGCCGATGTAACGAGCAAATTTCTCCACTGTGAGATCAGTAAAGTCAGTCACCCAATCAATATCTCGCTCATTTAGAGCCATTGGTTTGAATCAGGTCTGCTGAAGAAGGGATGCGTCTTAAAGTTCCAGGATAGTAGCTCCAGGACCGAATTTATCAACCAGAATAGCCCAGTCAAAGTTCAGAACTAAAACCAGTGGAAAATATGTTTGATTTAAAACTGGTTTTTCATAAATGTTGTTTAAGAGTAGAATTGACAAAATAAAAAGGTAAGTCTCACATAACTCTGCTGTCAGTTGAAGTCTTTGCTCCCAGTTTAAAAAGTGAGTTAAAAAAAAAGATCTTAAATTTAATGGAATTATTCCACACACAAAAAAATCACAAAAAATGTGTCTATTTGTACAAATAAACAGTCTCTCTTGAAAATTACCTTAAAATGTGTATTAAATTTTTAGCTTTGATCATGTTTAGTATTTAGGGAAGAGGATTAGGGCCACTGGAAAAAAAGTTAACTGGTTTTTAAATGATTTTTCAGTATTGTATGAGAAAAAAGTCAGAATTTTCACTTTAATCCCAGAATTCTGACTTTAACCTCAGAATTCTGACTTTAATCTCTGAATTCTGACAGCTAACAAACACATTAGCGTCAAGCCGTAACCATGTATGTTTTATAGACTAAACTCTTGTTTTAATCACCTTCTGCTCTTCCATTTATGAAATATTACTGGGGACCCCTCGGCCACGTAAAAAGTTGCCTAATTCCGTCATTATCCACCAATGTGTCACTGGCCCTCTCAAACAACTCACATCTTTGTCAGTGAAGCTGAGAGCTCCCACATCTCTTCTTTCATGGTGCCCTTTTGGATTAAGATCCAAAATTCTGAGATTAAAGTCAGAATTCTGAGAAGATAGTCAGAATTCTGACTTTTTTCTCATACTAAAATAACAATTAAAAATCCGTTAACTTTTTTAATTTTTCCATTGGCCCTAACTCTCCTCCGTACTAATCCTCTTCCGTATTTACGGAAAAAAATTAAAAAGTTAACTGATTTTTAAATTTTATTTCTGTATAATATGAGAAAAAGTCATAATTCTGACTTTAATCTCGGAATTCTGAGATTAAAATCAGAATTCTGATTTTTAAAAAAGTCAGAATCCTGACTTTAATCTCATAATTCTGACAATTTTGTCATAATCTACTGAAATTTTAAAATCAGTTAACTTTTTTTTTTTTTTACAGTGGCCCTGATCCTGCTCCGTACTTACGGAAGAGGATTGGAGCCACTGAAAAAATAAGAAAAGTGAACTGATTTTTTTAATTTTATTTCAGTATAATATGAAATTCTGAGATTAAAATCAGAATTCTGAGATTAAAGTCAGATTTCTTATATTAAAATCAGAATTCTGAGAAAAGAGAAGTCAAAATTCTGAGATTTACAGTCAGAATTGTGAGGGGGAAAAAAATTTATTCTGAGATTAAAGTGAGAATTCTGACTTTTTTGTCATATTCTACTGAAATAAAATTTAAAAATCAGTTAACTTTTTTTTTTGTTGTCAGTGTCCCTAATCCTTTTCCGTAATTATTAAATATGTACTTAAGAGAAATAAATCAAACAAAATAAATGTTATTTATTGTATGTGAAGCCAAGCTGCTGAATCAGTGCGGCCGTTAGGTCATCTGAATGTACCGGTCCGGAGGAGTGAGTTATTAGGCCCCGCCCCAACACTTCGCTCAATCCAACCTGAAGATAGGGCGAGTCAGCGGCTACAAATATAACTGCTAACACAAGATGGCCGGTCTGCCTCGTAGGATTATAAAGGTACACATAGAAACTAAACATATGTATACTAATATACTAGCCAATGTGAGGGTTTTCTGCCGATCTGTCGGCGATTATGTGTAAAATAAATCCAAACTGCTGTTGCTCGTAGCTATTTCGTTAGCATACTTAGCCTCTGCCTTGCTAGCTGCCGAGCTAATTCGCTTCACTGCAACTGATGTCTGACACTTCCGTGTAGTCAATTCTCGTCTGCTTTATGCCTAAACTTGATCTAATTTAAAGTTCTATGTATTTATACCCGAACTGATAACACTAACTTGCTAATTATATCAAATTTAACGCAGTCCCCATATGAATGAATTTGGTATTCGAGCTAGGCTAGCTGCTGTAGCCTCGATGGTTCCCACACATGCCTCGCGCTTTCTGTGAAACTCTGCCCTTCGTGAAATATTGAATTTGCCTTCATTTGGGGGGGAAACGTTTTGTTTCTGCTTCTATATTATTGAAAGGGCTGTCTAAGAATGTGTTATTGTGAGTCCAGTTGCGCTGCGGTTTCCTCCCTTTCGCCGCACCGCAGCTTCTTTTTTTGGGCCTGGCCCAGTGTTATGCCGAAAAAAAAAAAAAACCCACCCATGTCTGTTAAGACCCCCCCTCCCTTACAGGAAGCGTGTTTCAGGAATTCATAATTGGTAAAAATCGTCGTCTTAGTCAGCATCTCTGAAGATGGCTTAGAAGCATTCATAAAAACACTTCCTTTAGGAGGTATTTCAGTCAAGGGTGTGTTTTTTTTCCTCTCTCTCGGTACAACACAGTCAGTGAGCGCGGTCAGCCTTTTCCGCCACGCTGAGCCTCAGGTTTGGCAGGTTTTGCTGCCTGCACTGTCAAGTTGACAAAGTGAAACCAGTTTCCAGCTTCTGGATTCTCGTTTTGCATTTTGTCTTCCACCTAATGTGGTGTTAGTTTGAATCAGACACTCACTAATGCTACTGCACCTGCTCAATCTGCCAAATAAAGGGAAATATGTTTATTATTTCTTCTAATAAAATGATCTAAAGTGCATGATGGAATCAGTTAAACCCTTAAATGTGGCTATTTCTTATGACCAAAGGATCTTAATGTAGCTCTCTAGTTTATAATTTCTGATTAGGATAGTTTGTATGTTTTTACAATGGGGCTCGTTTAGCTAAAACTTGCAGAGTGAAACCACTAAGTGGGATATTTGCAGGTTATTTTCCAGCCTGCACCCACTACGTCTGTGGTTTAACAGCAGCAGCTACTAATATTCCCTCCAGTGTGTTTTAATGTGTCTGTCGGCCCATAACGTCACAGATTTTAGTTGCAAAGCCAAACACTGCTGCGCTGCTGAGGGTGCTTCTTGGTTTGAATCCAGTACAGACAAACAAAAGAACTGCGTAATTTGGCAGATGAATGCAACATTTAACAGGCTTAAGATCAATCTTTGTTTGTTTGATTTTTGGATATCGTTTATAAGGATCAGTGACTTGTTCTGCGGCACCTGGAATGCCGTCTTTTCAGTTACTTGAAAGACGCCTTTTCTATGTTTAAAGAGAAATCTGAACAAGCAGGCATGTTGTCGTCCTCCCGTAAATGCAGGAGACACAGCGGTTGATGCAAGAGCCCGTCCCGGGGATCACAGCTACGCCTGACGAGGGGAACGCACGCTACTTCCATGTGGTCATCGCAGGGCCTCAAGACTCTCCGTTCGAGGGGGGCACGTTTAAACTTGAACTATTTCTTCCAGAAGAGTATCCCATGGCAGCTCCTAAAGTGCGATTCATGACCAAAATCTATCACCCCAACGTCGACAAACTGGGAAGAATATGTTTAGACATCTTGAAAGGTAAGAATGAGTCTCTTATTTTACCTTTCCTTCTCATTAGCTCTAAATATTAACATTTTAAAGACATAAAGTCTGATTTGCACATCTTAAACATCAAAAGGGATATTTTAATTCTAAGTGACTTTGCAAAGCTATTGGTTCTGATTTGAAATGGGCCCATTTACCTTTATTAGTTTTTATTTATGACTTTAAAAGACATGTTTGTTATCAGACTATTTGAACTTTGTTCTTTGAATACTAAATATTTCTTTCAGTTTTTACTCATCACACAGAACCTATAAGCAGTAAGATTTATAGTTTAATACAAAATTGTTTTATTGTGTTTTCTGTTTGGTTGTTCTACCCTCCGTGTTGAAGCAAAATCCATTTTGAACATTTATAGTATTTAAAACATTACCTTTATTTGCAAACGGCTGATTAACTTTAAAGCTTATTCTACATTGAAATTTCATTAATCAGATCTTCAACTTTTAATATTAAGATACAGTGATGGAGTTTAAAGCATCTCCTTATGTCATGTGCACCCTTGCAGAAAAGGACTTCTAAGACCTTAAACAAAGCTGTTTCTTTTATAAATGAAAATCTAAAAAGGTATAAAACATATTACCTTTTTCTCTGATATCTCTTCATTTATTCCTGTGGTAGAACAAATACTAAACTCTAAATAAGTTTTAAAAACACACTTGTGATTAATGTAATCTCACTGTAATGCTACTCATATTTACCAGGGTAGTGATAAAGACTTAAATCTGCTATTTAAGCCAATGTTCATCTTCATGCAGGATTATAGCTAGGAATATTTCATAGGGTGTAAACCTTGGTTTATAACATCATTAGGGTTTGCGCGGTGTACGGGAAAATTTCGAAATTTAGACCATTTCCTGCATTTTGAGGTAGGATGCAGCTATTTTTGTCTTTGTTACAACACTACTTTAGTCCTGATTATGGGAAGTTTGTGTGCTTGACTAGAGGTGGAAATTTCATAAGGAAGACATAATGCTACGTTCACACATCAATTTGAGCAGAAAAAACGTGTCTGCTGCTTAATTTTTTTTATGCTTGTACGCATTAGTGCGTCCTGATGCTGCTGCTGCTCCTGTTTTTAAAGGCAGAGAGCAGCTTTGCTATATTTACTGTCATAAATGGGTAAAAAGTAGTTTAAATATATTTTTAAGTGAAAAAATTTGAGCGAAGTTTCCAGGGGAAAAACAGAGCGGAAAAAATTGTAATTTTTTTTTTAGTAAAGGCCATACAATGCACGGCTGTACGCATTGCTAGCTAAAAGCAATGAGCACTCATAAATGTTAGTATGTTTAAAGATATGCCTTTTATTAATAGTGCTTTTTCTTGGCATTGTTACATTACTTTATGGAGCTGCTGTACCAAAATATTTTTAAATATCACCAAAATATGATGCCTTCAACTGAACACTGCCCGTTTTTAATTGTGGTCGACCCCTCGATCCCTAAATATTATGCAGCAAATAGAGAACATATAGTGTATTTAGCAAGAAGGGACTTTTTGCATATATGCAAAAGCTAAGTGTGACCAAAAGACACATCTGCACATCATCCTTGATAAGTTGCACCAACTGATTTATTTTTGGCATAAATGCGCTGTGGGATCCTTCTCTGCAGCTCTGAGACAGCGGAAATATACCCAATATGTAAAACAATATTAAAACTATGTATAATTTTCCTTTAACTTCATAATTGTTCACTACTTGATGTTGTTCTGACATAAAAAAAAAATGTTAGGTTCTAACGTTATGTTGCATGGGACCCATTATTTTGATCCCTTTAATCAGCTTTTTCCCCAATTATCAGCTTATTTTATTATTATTTCACTTTGCTACTGCGGTTCACTTCATCTGTTATGTTTTTATAATCCCCTACGTTCTATTTGATGTTTCCTTGGTTTCAGAAATTTGACATTGGTGTAAATATTTGTCTTTTCTATCTTACTTTAAACAGACAAGTGGTCTCCAGCCCTGCAGATACGCACAGTGTTGCTATCCATCCAGGCATTATTAAGTGCTCCTAACCCAGACGATCCCCTGGCAAATGACGTCGCAGAGCAGTGGAAGAAAAACGAAAGCCATGCCATTGAGACAGGTCCGTATAAGATTTATTCTTTCATTTCTATTTTTGGTTTATTGAAAAATACAAAGGAATGGGAGCACCAAGCTGCATTGCAGCTCCTTTGGGTCGTCACTGATTCGTAGCTGGAGAAAAGCTTTGACAGATGGCTGCAAACATTAGCTGAATTCCAGATCTTTGAAATTCCACCCACATCTAAAGCTTGGTGATAGTTTTTCAGGCTGCAGAGGAACAACAACCTAACAAATTTAATGATGCCCACTCTGCTTGCAGCTTTAACATTACTGTACTGTAAACACAAGCAGCGGGTGAAGAGGTTAGAGGGAATCCTAAAGGTGAATAAAAAAAAAGTGCTGAATATGTGGGATCTTGTTATCTTGTCAGGATTAGCAGCATACTCTCAGAAGTGCAACCCGTAAATAAGTTGTATGTATTAACTAAAAACAAAAATGAATTAATATACAGATTTATTTAATTAAAAAGCTGATTAGGCTGGCTATGCAGTACCTGCATCTTAGCATACTCTGTACCAATGTTCATCGGAAAGATAAAAGGTTGTGGAGCCTTTAGAAGAAGCTGATGTTGGCGGCCCTTGAATTGCTCTGTTTAGTTTGAGGTGTCTGCCGTTTGAAACATTGAGCGTCCAAACATTCTTTAATCATGGATGAACTAAACGCTCCCATTGGACCAATCCTGCTTCAGAAATTAATCAGCATGTATTCAGCTTGTTTGTTTGGAGACAAAAGCTTGGGCAGAGTTAGCCAACTGTAGAGTAGGGATGCAGAATATATTGTATATATTGTTATCCCAGTATCTGTAAGCTGTATTTATATTGCTTTTAACAGCTCGGGCTACAAAAAGTGTTCATTACTCTTTCAGGTGTTCGGTAACACCTATTTGATTCTACAGGAAATGGTTTTTTAACAGGGAGCACAGTGGTCCGGTCATAGCATTCATTTAAGAAACTCATCATCCATCCAGTTTAAAACTGGCCTGTTTTTTCCTTAATCCCAAAGAAATTATTAAGAAATGCTTATTTACTTTCCCCTCGCTTTAATTATTACAATATCTCATTAAAAGGTTAAGTGCTTTAATTCTTTATTTGGGGAATTCTTTATTCATTCTTTTTTTATTAAATAACATGCAAGTTTTTTCCTTCTATTTTTTTTTGTCATGGTTAGAAAAAAATTAGGAATCGGCAAAGATTAGCAGTCAGTAAAATCTTCATCAGTGGATCTATACCTTTTTTCATATTTAAACTTAATAATTCCATACCTTTACCTAGTGAATAAGCTGAGTCAGCTTATTCACTCTACATTTAGGTAAAGGGTATAACTTTTGAGGCATTGCCGTTTATTGCTTTTTCTCTACCAAACCTCTCCTTCAGCAACAGTTTCTCTTCCTTAAAAATGTCAATGAACCTCAAACATGCAGTTAAATCTTGTGATCTTATCTCAGGCGATCTTTTTCCTGAAGCTGACTGTTGAACAGCTTGAGGTCTGATTATCTTGCTAATTCCCTCTATATTGATTGCTGGTAAAACAGCTGCTTATTCAAGATTAAAAATTGGTTTTACGTTCTTAGAAGAGGTTAGTCCTCCATTTTTATACTGGAAAAAAAAACATGCATCCTTACATTGAAACCAGGCAGGTCAAGCTAATGAAAGTGTCGTATCACATAGATAAGACTGGAGAATTTCAGTGGCCTTTTGTATTTATTGTTTGTATAATCTGTTGTCTGAAACCCTTAGAGGTGCTCCACTTTTTTATTTTTGTTTGATAAATGCAGCACAGGTGGTCAGTGTTGAACAGTTTTATTAAAGATCGAAATAATAAAGTTTCAAATCTTCTAGAGCTAATCGAAATTCAGCTCTTCTTGTCTAGTTATCAGATTTTGAACAGTTTGAAAAGTATTTTTTGTTATGGGAAAGTCTGGGAAATAGGAATATTTACAATTACCTGTAAATCAAGACTGTTTCTTGCCTTCAAGCCTTGTTTATCAGTCTGAGATCCATCTTTTTGTTTATGTCACATTTCTTCCACTTTGTCCTTCATCACCCCCCCTTCCACCCCCAATTCATTGGCCATCGTTTGTCCTCCTCTGTTAGTTAATCCATGATTTTTCTCTCCATCTTTTGAAAGGTTTTAGACAGAGAGGCAACTTTTCTGGTCTCTGAAGTGATTTATTTATTTTTTCACAATATAGGAGCAGGTAAAGTTGTTCCCATGCAGTCTGAAAAAAACTTGAGTTTTAAACATGTTGCGCCTTTCAACAAGTACAGAACCTAGAAATAAAGTTTTGGATTTACAGATCTGTTATGCTCTCCATTCTTATCCATCTTTTTAGTTTTCAGGCTCCGTATTTGAAGTCTGATGACCTTTGAAAAATATCCTGTAGATTCATTAAAATGTCTTATGTTTTACAAAAAATCTGAGCAGCAAACACATTTAACATAAGAAACCTTTTTTTTTTTTTTTACTCCCTTACTTTCCAAATTAACTTAATTATGTGTAGAAGTTTATTTCATTCAAGTCAGAATGCAGCACATGAAGGTAAAGTGGCAGAAAATGTTTTAGCCGTTTGTTTTAAGTTGAATTAAGCAAAAATGCTCAAACCAATTGATAAGAATAATTTGGTAACTGATTAGAACCAGGCATATTACTTATTCCCACCCTGCATGACTTTACAAGCTTCCTGTTTCTCTCCCCTCCTCCCTCCCCTATCCTGCACCCCCCTGCAGCCCGAACATGGACCAGGCTCTACGCGAGCAACACTGAAGTATAGAGGAATCGAAGAGGCGTCTGAATGTGATCCACAAAATGTACTCCTACTCTGTCAACCTTTGAATTTAACGGACACATTAAAAAAAAAGAAATAAGTCCAAATATATTTGAAAGAAATGAGATTTACTGCTGCAGACCCCTGGGTGACTTATGTTTTCCTCTCTTAAGACGCGTTAAATGTGTGTTGGCCTTTGTTTTCTTTTTTTGTTTTTCTCCGTGTTGCTATTTAAATGCATGGACAAGCATCAACACCCTCCCCATGTCTTAAAGTACATGCAATATGTTGTCCTGAGCTAGTCACAGACTGGTACGTTTGCGAAACTATTCATTCATTAAAGTTTTTTTTCTTTTAACAAACCCATCATTTGTCAGCACATCTGTATGTCTTTTGTGTTTAAGCAGCGCAGAGTGAAAAAGTTTTTCTTACACATTTATTCAATGAGGGAATGTAAAACGCATCGTCACTCTAAGGGTGGGGGGGGATACATTTCTAAATTCTTACAAAAAAATTAAGTTGGTAGAAAAGAACGATTTAGCACCAAAAATAAAAATGATAAAGAGGGGTTCATTTCTTTTAAATTGTCTTGAAGATCCGTGTTACATTAGGTTTTTATTTTTCAAGAATACCAAATCTCTTCTCGCATTCGTCCATTTTTATCTCTACATTAAAAGTTGATCAGTGAAGTAAAACGTGTGCTTTAGCCTTGATAATAAAAGGAAATATAGAATTGGATGCTGTTATTTTAAGTTTTTCTTATTTTGAGGTCAGTAATCCTTATAAACTCTCTGGGGAGGGTGAGCCGGGTAACTTTGTCGTGACTTACGTTCATCCCGACGCATCTAGATCAACAACAGACAAATTTTTTCTTTAAAGAATGGTTTAGGAGTGTTGAAGATGGCATTTCTTACTTCTGCCACCTCTTCTATTTCTGTTTTAAAAAGGCATTCATCCGGCCCAAACATAACCAAGGCAACATAAACCGGTTTATATGGTTATTAATATCCTTTCTTTTGAGTCAGCCATACTTAATATTGGATCTGTCTGTGATACTAATGTAATAATTAATGATTATGCAAGTGCATTTACTTGACTCCAGATTGGGGGGAGTATAAGGTCAGTTTGGTAGAAGACGGTTAATGTTATATAAAACATCTCCTTTATCACTAAAAGATTTAGTGTTGGATGGGGTAAACGACTTGGGTGGGAAACCGAACGATGATTGCTTTGGTCAGGATGTCTCAACAGCCCAAATCATATCGGGGTTAGGACTTACAACATGCTGTAAAATACATTTTTGTTGTAGGGTGGGGGGGGAGGAAGAGGAAGTTAATGTTCAAAGGTTGTTCTTTAGATTTGTCATCCAGTTACTAACTGCTATGTTTTCTCTATTTGAACATGGATGGCCCTAAAACATTTAATTTATTGTTTTTCCAGCAGGAGTTCATGGTAGGAAGTGGTTTAAGCAGCTAGATGGAGATAATTGGAGATCAAACTGATAAATCAGCTCCCCTTGTGTACTGATACAAAGGAGTTCTGTCAATAATTTGAGTACATTTGCTTACATGGCTCTTCAAACATGCTGTAAATAAAATGAGTTGAGTAAGTAAGAGGAGTCTCCTCTCTTTTGTTTATGCTGAAGTTGTGCAGCTGTAGTGTCAAGGTTGCTTCAATAGATTACTTTTCATATTTTTAGAAACGGCACAGGCATTAACATTATTCACCCACTTAACTGTAAATAATAAAACATTCAGAATATTTAATTGCACTGAACTAAAATTAATGAGGATTTTCTTTTATTCAAACACTTTTTATCCTAAGTTCTGTCATCCCCTGAAATCAAGGGCTTCATTAGCAGCTTCAGTTGTCCTTGAAAGGAATACTATACATACCTGGACTGCTGCTGGGTGTTTTAGAAGTTTAATAAAGGAAATTATTTAAAAAGCTCAGATTTTGCTGCAACAAAGGAGACCGCATACAAGAGGAAGCTGTCAGCGATGGCCGCCTGCTCCCAGAAGAGGTAGGTGGTCGAGACATGATTGCATCAGCCGCTGAAGATTGGTCTCCACAGAAGGAAATGTACGTGTAAAATCTACCTAAATGCAGAAGAAAAGTCTAATTCAAGTAGCTCACAACCATATAAATATGGTTTTGGACCCTGTGCTAAGCAATGAATCATAGCTGGAACCATTTATTGAGACGATTCATCAGCCCAGGAGAAGAATAAAGTGTATGACTTTGAGGAAATGCCACTAATGAAGCACGGTTTAGTGATACTGTGGGGATGTTTTTCTTCCTGTGGAACTAGAAGGCTGCAGAGACGAGATGAAATCAGAAAGCCCTGTCTGATTAATCTGAAGCAACAATGAACCTGTGGCAGAATTTCTCGTCATCTCACCGAAACTCATATAAAACTATGGTGTTATTTGAAGAGTGATGCAGCACCACAGAGCATGAGCAATAGGTTGGTTATTCAATAATGATGTCAAAAGCTAGTGTCTATGAATCATTTTTTCAGGTCAGAACAGGCTGAATAATTTTTTAGACTGCAGTAGTCGTTACAAAAAGATGTCAAGTGTTTAATCTAGAGAAACTACAAAGAATATCTGATAATCTGAGCTATTCTGGTTTGATTTGCTTATAAAAACGGCAACAAGTTGGTTTTATTTACCTCCCTTAAGTGGCTGCAGCTGTGACGTTATCTATAACTATAACCACAAGGGGGAGCCATTTTACAAGCTCAGCTGCAAAGTGACTCGACATTCTCTGGTCTGAAGGCCCATTTAAAATGAATTTGTACACCCCTTATTTTTCTGTAACCTTTCTGAAGAGATGACACTTTGGAATAGGAAAATATTTCATGTAAAGATTCATTAACAGTGTAAATATGTCCTTTCAAAATAAAATGCATATATTGTTTAAAATGTTGGCAACTAATGGGACTACAGCCCTGCCTGTAAAGTCCAAACTTCTTGCAATTTGAGCATTTAAAATAGTACCTTCACCGTACAGTTTCAACTCAGAACAGGCCTAGCCACGGTCAACTAAAATAGATGTATGAGAGGTGCCAGGTGCAGATAATTCCTGTGTTTGTTTGCATTCAAGCCATAAACATCTCACATGATCTTCCAGGGGCCTGTTTCAGAAAGGAGGTTAAGTGAAAACTCTGAGTTTGTTAACCCTGAAATGA